CCCCAAAACCCCAAAACCCCAAAACCCCAAAACCCCAAAACCCCTTCAATTCGAAACATTATTGAACTTATCTCTCTTTGACTCTTACTTATATTCTAAGTATTATCAAACCTTTCACCCTTCAAAATTCTTTTTAGACTCCTTCCATCTTTTCTAATGAAGTTTGGTGGTAACCTTGAACTATAGAGTGGTTAAAACCCGTCTTCTTCTTTATAATGGTCACTCCAGACCTGGGACAGTATGACGCACACGTTTAGGCCAATAGAAGCAAATATTCCGAAGAAGACGAAGAACCAAGCTGCTATAGCCTGAGCTTCTAGTCGATTCTTTTTCAAACAGATGATGTAAAAGGAGCCTGGTGCAATGAATGTGATGAAACAACCAGTAGTAGCACCGATAACTCCGGTGAATAATGCTATATCTCCTACATAGATAGCCAGGAAGGTTGTTAGTGCGTGAAGACTCAGAACTATTGTATAATAGAAGACAGGCCGCATTGTCATATACTCACAAGGATCTGGTTCTGGGGGTAGAACAATTTCTATATCAGTGGAAGCTTCTGTCAAGTCCATGCTACCCACATCAACTATAGACCCGTCATCTCTACTGGAGCTCATGCTTGGTTCTGAATTATTTATAGTCTTAATAAGCTTCTTTTTATCTGCTTTGATTTTCCTCCTGAGCATTCGAGTGTTATGTTGGGAGTAGCTTCTCCTAGTAATCTCATCAAATATAATTAAAACCGCTTCTTTACCAATGAAAAAGTTTGGTGGAATAGCCATTATCGAGACTAACAAGAAGATACTCTGCAGCACATATGCAAATGCAGATTTGTCGCTAACCACAGTCTTTAATAAGTTCGTCTTCATGTTATCTCCATAGATCGAATAAGCAATGAATGGAATAGAAGTGTAGACCGAGAATATCACCAATCTCCCAAATAAATCTGCAAGTTGTCCATTTCGTGTTTTCTGATATTTCATGTTTGCAAACGCAGTAAAGAAAGAAATCTGAAAGGCATATGATGCGATAAAGGTTGGAATTCCTGAAAAGAATTTAACATTAATCTTAGTCCTGAATAAATCTGCAGGAGGATCTGGATTATGGTCCTTTGCTAAGAAGTGGATCCAGAAAATTATCACGAATAGAATACAGAGAACTAGAATCCCTATTCCTATGTACCTGAGTTCATTTGATCTAAAAGTTATGGTTTTTCTTACTGTATTTGCTTATTTGAGATTGAAGTAGATTAATATTCAAGCTAGTACTGACTGTGTGAACCACCTCGAAGTCCAAAATGAATGTTCTGAGGCTCCCATTCCTTTCATAAGGTTACCAAATACATCTCCAAAAACAATATAAAACACTATTGTAAATCCGAGCTGGGCTACAGCAACCATGAAGTTAATGATATAAATACTCAAATTTCCATAACAATAGATTCCCAAATCTGAGAGAGAGGCTTTTCCAGAGATTTTTCTTGCCTGTATAAGCATCCATATTGAAAGGACTCCAACCGGGATAAATCAAATTTGGAATCAGAGAGCAAAGAAGAACCCTATGACATCAGTTGCAGCAGGTATTCCAACAAGCCCTCCTCCAATCCTTGTGCTCACGAGGGTGAGCATTGTAAAGAAAATACCAACTCCTGTTTGGATCTCTGCCGTCGGAGCTAGATTGTAAATTTAAATCATGCCCAAGTTCCAGTATTCTTAAGTAGCTCTAAGCTCCTTAATCTTGCTCTAGAGCTGGTCCCTCACCCTCTTAATAACAGCAAAGCTCAAGAGAATAATAGTGCCATGAATCAGAAGAAAGAAGGCTCACTTACTATCAGGCAATTGTTCTGGCATTTCTCTTTAAATATTCTATATTATTAAATATGAGGGGTTTTGGGGTTTTGGGGTTTTGG